GAGGGGGACGCAGTTGTGTCTTTGCTGACTTTTCATTCAGCCTTGTTGTTTTTATTGATTCTGGCTTTATCTTCTATTGGGGGCTCCGTTTAATTTGTTCTAAGGTATTGAACAAAATTATTATTTTTTTATTTCCAATTTTTTTCAGCTTTTTATTTCTAGAAACAATCGAGACTTACCTGTAAATTGATGGTTGTTTCTGATTTTGACAATCTGCAAAAGATTTGGGAAAACCTGATGTTTGTGTTGTGTTTGTGGTGGCCAGGCTGCAGCAGTTGGAGGAAGAGTTCTACCGTCTTGTGGACACGGAGGAGATCGCTGCCAAGTTCTTCATCCCTGAGGAGGCCGTAGACGTGGTCACGCAGTACTGGAAGCTCAAGAGGAAGGTACTGATGCTGTCAGATATGGTGGTGGTGGTTGTTGTGGTCTACTGTTACTGGTCCTCTCAGATATGCTGGTGTTGTTTTTTGTTGTTGTTGTTGATGGTGGTGTTGCTGTTGGTGGTGGTGGTGTTGTTGCTGTTGTTGTTGGTGGTTGTCTTCTGTTACTGTTCCTGTCAGTGGGTGGTTGGTGGGTGCTCTGGTGCCTTTTGCTGCTTCTTCTTTCCTGTCAAACATCTATCGTCCTGATCTCTCCTCCTTCTTTTTTGTGTAAGGTATGTTACTCTCTTGTAACACATCTATTCTTCGGCGCTTATATGACCTTATTGTGTTGCAAGTTCCATAAAACTCTTATAAAATTGAAACTATAAACTGTATGTTGTCTTTCTTTGACCTGGCACTAAATGACTGTTATCGTGTCAGTGTATTTTTCTTTACTCAAACAAAAACTAACCAACAACCTTGGCCCTCATATGACCTTATGCAGTTGCGAGTGCCGTAAAACCTCTTCTAAATAAAAAAAAACCAAACCAACCTTACTTGTCGCCAGGTGAACAACAACAAGGCTCTCATCACGCCCAAGATGGAGGAGGAGGACCAGATGCAGAAGCAGCAGAAGGACAGCCTGAGTGCCCGCATGAAGATGTTTGTCCATCTACGGCAGGACTTGGAGAGGGTGAGTGACCGCTGGACAGTACTGCTGGATCATATGTATGTGTGTCTGTCTGTCTGTCTGTCTGTCTGTCTGTCTCTCTCTCTCTCTCTCTCTCTCTCTCTCTCTCTCTCTCTCTCTCTCTCTGCGCCCACATAAAATGTTTGTCCACCTACGGCAGGACCTGGAGAGTGTGAGTGACCGCTGGACAGTACTGCTGGATCAAGTGTGTGTGTGTGTGTGTCTCTTTCTCTCTCTCGTTCTCTCTCTCTCCATATTATCTTCTTGTGCCTTAAAGTGAAGGCGTCAGAGGTTTAGAGATAGTGGGCTTACTGGTTCAAAAGATGGAGGGAGGTAATTAAAGAATATTGCTTGCCTTTTTTGTCATGCTTTTTGATTGAAAGAACGTTTGGAGGTTGAGTTTTTTTTCTTGTAGAGAATGTTGGCTGTTTTGTCATGGACATAATTCTGATTTTTCGTCCAATATTTGCAGGCGCGTAACCTGTGCTACATGATCAGCAAGAGGGAGAAGACCAAGAAGCAGTTCTTCAAGCTCAAGGAGTCGGTGTTCAGGTCGCAGGTTCGAGTCCTCACCGACTCCGAGCTCAACCTGAGTGCGCGCGAGGCGGAGGGCGTGCGGCAGGCGTACCAGTTCGGCTCCATCTACAGCAACTACGGCGTGGCCTCGGAACTGTGCAGCAAAATGCCGAGGGAGAATCTGTTTACCCTGGAGAACCTGAAGACGCCGAAAGATTTTGTGGAGAGTGGGGAGGAGGGCGGAGGGGAGACCAGCAGGAGGTCGAGCTCAGCCAGCAAGTCGTCTTCGTCGTTGCTCCACGGCAGCAAGTTCCTCAAGGCGGGGCGGGCTGGCCGCAGGAGCAAGAGCAAATCGGGGGACTCCCTCGTGGCCGAGTCGACGACGGCCGGTTCCGCTGCGGGTGGAGGAGGAGGGGGGAACGAGGCAGAGGAGGTTAACCGCGGGCAGCAGGCGCACCGGCAGAATCTTTTCTCGATGGATCGGTTTGGTCTCGTGAGCGACTCGAACGCAGACACCAGCGAGGATGAGGTGCCGGCGGCGGGCAGGTACTCGCGCACGGACTCACGGCAGATGAGCCGTCTTGGCAAGGTGAAGCCCGAGGAGGTGGTGGAAGAGACGTTGATCAGCGTTGTGGATGACGACGACGATGCGCTACCAGAGGGGAAGCCCGACGGGGAGGAGGTCGTGACCCCGAAGAAGTTTGTGCCCGGCGACCTCAAGAAGCGGCTGACCTCCATCCTGCAGTCGAAGACCATGATGCAGCAGAAGCAGGGCCGGTCGTCAGCGGGGGTGGGCGGCGAGCTGGATGACCCGCTGAGCCGCAAGCTGCACGTGGATGTGAACCACTCGGACAGCGAGGTCTTCACTTCCGATACCAACACTGACCTCTTCTCTCCCGCCGCTGCCGACCAGCAGCGCAACCTGTTTGACCAGTTCCGGGTCAAGGCCAAGCCGCCGATGTCCTCCCCCGATACTCCGGCTGAGCTGGAGCAAGCGCCGGCCGACGCGGTTGTCTCCACGAGGCCTCCACACAAACGGTTGAAGAAGCGAAGGCACGGCCGCTCGCCCCACAAACACAAGAGGGCGAGGCGCGACGTGTTGTCTCCCTCGGAGCAGTCGACTGGCTCCAGCGTGTCGGTCAAACAGGAAGTCTTGTCGTCGACCGAGGGGGACAGCGGCAGTTTGACCAGTCGCTGCGAACAGGTCCTCAACAACGACGGCTCGGCAGACCTCAACCGCTCGCCCCCGTCGTCATTGGTGAGCCCGGTGATTGAGGTGGAAGCCACCACGTCTGACCTATCCCCCAAGCTGTCCTCACCACCCCGCTCCAGCAAAGACAGGAGGAAGAAATCTCGGCGGGCCGCGGGCAGCTCGTCCGCTCCGAACATCATCTCTCCGTCCCCCCGCGTTCATCCGAGCGAGGCGTTTGCCACCATGGACGGTGACATCTACGTGCCGAGCGGCAAGATTCAGGTGACGGAGAGGACTATCGTGCTCGACGATCCGAAAGAGGAGGAGAAGTCTCCCGTGCGTAGTAAGTTACGGCTGAAAAAGCAGGCCAACTCCCCGGTGAAGGGGGTGGTCAGTTACGAGGTGGTCAAAGAGGAGGAGGATAAACACGACGTGGTGAGGAGCAGCGACCTCGAGGAGGCGTCCAAAAATGGCAGCAGCAACAACGTTTTCGAGAGAATCCTCGTGGATTCGGTGGACGTGAAGAAGGAAGTGGTGGAGAAGTCGGAGCAGGAAGCGGTGCTGGTGGTGGCAGACGGCTCTGAGGAGCGAAGCCTTCGACGTCACAGGAAGGGAGAGGATTCTAGGGTGGTCGGTGATTCCGTGCTCGTGAAGAAGGAGGAGGAGAAGAAGCTGGAGCCCAGTCCAGAGACAAATACCTCAATTGATATTAAAACTGTGAAGTGTGAGAAAGGTGTGGATTCCGTGACGGAGGAGAAAGTGAAAACGGACGTGTCGAATCTACGGCACCGGCGAAGCGGCAAGAGGAGAAGGCTTCGGCCGAGTGGCCAGGTTGCTGCGGCCACGGAGGAGCAGGACAACCTGGCAGGGAATTCTTCCGACGAGAATTTTGTCCCCAGCGCGTCTGTTGCTCAAACCAGGTCGACCGAGCGCACCCCGAGGCCTCGGCGATCTCTCACCACCCGCCGCACACACCCCGATATGGTCAAGGCGGATGACTCTGACGACTTCGCCGAGAGCCCTTCGTCTTCTCCAAGGAAGTCTGCGAGCAACAACAACCACCACACGTCGGGCGGCGGTCGCGGCGGCAGCAACGTTCAGCTGAAACCCTTCCACAACCGGCCCGAGCTGGATATTCTGCTGGACAGTCGCAAGCTGGTGGTGAAAGAGCCGCTGAAGCGACAGGTGAGCGCGAAGCTGGGACAGCTGCTCAAGTGTCGCGGCCGCTGGAGCTCGGGGAGTCTGGTCAACGGCAAAGGGCAGACGACTCTAGACAAGTTTGTGACTCGAAGGAACAGCAGCGAGAACGTTTTCGCCCGGGCCGACTCGGGGAACAGCTCAAAGCTCGGGGGCGGCAAGCGTGGCTCTCAGGCGGTCGCCAGCAGGACGGACCTACTACACCCACTTCAAACCAACTCTTCAACCAATCATTCTGACAATGTGCTGTCCAAACAGCAGGACTCGAACCCCGGTGCCCTGGTGAAGTCTTCGTCTGTGTTCGGCGCCCACTCCTCCCCTCGCGGCAGCCTCAGCTCGTACCGCATCCCCCGCAAGTCGGACGCGGAGGCTCAGTCCAAGGACAGGGCTGAGGGTCAGGGGGTCAAGGCCAGCGAGCCTGACGTGTTCGGCGACACGCACCGCCTGCACAACCAACAGCGGTTGTCACGGCAACTGTCGTTTGAGGACGTGCGGGACTCCACAGACCTGGAGGAAGTGGTGAAAACACCGTCCAAATGTGACCCGGCCCAGCTGTCTGAGGATAGGCTGGACGGGGGACGCGGGTACCGCTCGCACTCTCCCGCGTCGAGCGACGCTAGTGGTGTGTCCACACGCGTGCTACACGCTTCGAGAGACAACACGCCCAGGAGAATGACGCGTAGCCAGATAGCGGAGGACTCGCCTAGCCCCAACACGCGTTTGCTGCGCCGGAGAGAGGGAGCCGTACTGAAACCTCCACAGCTCAAACTTTCTTGATAGCGGCCAATTGTGTGTGTGTGCGTGCGTGCGTACAGTATGTGGCGTGTGTGTGTGTGTTCATACTTCCATGGCATTAGGGTTAGGACTTGGATAGACGACAGAGAGAAATGTGTGTGTGTGTGCATGCGTGCGTGCATTCATGTGTGTGTTTGTGTGTGTATATGCTTGCAGGGTGTTATCTTTTAGGACTAGGACAGACAACAGAATGTGTGCGTTGTGTGTTTGCTGATGTGTCAATGAGTAAGTTGCTCGTGTGTATCTGTGTGCGGGCTAGTTTGACCCATGTTTGTGAATTCTTCAGGGTTCCTGCGGCCTCCTCCTTAATTCAAGGAGTCCTATTTGTTGTTGTTATCGATCCAGCAAGGATTTCTAGAAAGCTCTTTGAATTTGCATTCAAGGAAAAATCTCCTTGACAAACCCCTTGAATTTCGCCAGATCGGACATGAGCAAAATTTTTGGCAGATTACTCTTGGCACGCCGTCAAAAAATGGCAGGAATTTCTAAACCAAATTTCCTTGAATTGTAAAAATTTCTCCTTGAAATCTCCTTGATTTGGGGTGGGAGTTCATGGCAGGAACCCTGATTCTTGTGTGGGCTTTCTCTCACGTGAAACTGTTAGAGTGAGTGTTTTGTTTGTATGTGCTTGCTGTCACATTGTTGGTGTTTGTGTGCATGCAGGTGTGTCTTCTTAACGTGTGCAAGCGTGACTTCACTCCGACTTAATTCTGTGTTGTTGTTCTTGTAGTTCAGGGAAGTGAGTAACATTTGTGTCGTTTGTCGTGCCTGCGCGAGTGCTTTATGATTTCTGCAGCAGTAACTTCTAAATTTTTATTCTGTGAACGAACTGTTAGAAAAGAGTTTTTGCCCCTGTTTCTTACTGTCACATGACAAATTTCTCTTTACTGTACCGAGTTTTCATCACTTGTTGTTCATGGCTTGATAGTGAAAGTTATTCCTAAATCTATTTCAGAAGGTGATAAATTCTTACTTTCTTTGCTAACCATTCTGAGATTTTTATATATAGATCTATGTCCGTAAAAAAATTTTCCAAAGTAAATCAATCTACAAAGTCTCCTGATTTGAATGGAGTTTTGTTTGTTGTCTGCCTTGTGGATGTGGGTGGTTGGCGGGTGCTCTGGTGTGGTTTGCTCCTTTTTTCCTATCAAACATTTATCGTCCTTAATCTCTCCTCCTTTATTTTTGTGTATGTTACTCTCTTGTAACACATCTATTCTTCGGCTCTTATATGACCTTATTAATATTATATTGCTAGTAGTAGGCTACTGTAATACTCTTACTAAAACTAACTGACTTGTGGATATGTACAAATAGGGAACCGGAGAGTCCTCTGTTGATATTCAATTCAGGGAGGTATTGGGCAACATGTACTGACCTGTGGCATTCATTGAGACGTTTAGAGATAACTTTTGACACTGGGGGAAATTTGCGTTTCTAACGTATCTGGTGGGTGACGTTCAGAGAAACCTCGGGTGGCCTTTGACATTCGATGGGGGAGACGAGGTGGGTTGTTGGAGGGTGGTTTGTTCCTTCTTTCCTTCAAACATCTAAATGTCTGTCGTCCTCTTCTCTCTTCCTTTTTTGTGTTTGTTACTCCCTTGTAACACCTCTAATTCTTCGGCACTTAAACGACTTTATGCCGTATTGTGTTGCAAGTGCTGTAAAAGTCTTACCCAAAAAAAAGGAGAGTGTTTGTTACTCCCTTGTAACACCTCTAATTCTTCGGCACTTTTACGACCTTATGCCGTATTGTGTTGCAAGTGCTGTAAAACTCTTACCCCAAAAAAGGGGGGGGGGGGGGACAGACCTGAGGTGACCTTTGACATCTGACACTGAGATCTGGGTGAAGTGGTTAGTGACAATAAGGAAAACTCGAAATGACCTTGACATTCAGAGAGACCTGAAGTGACCTTTGGCATTCAAATTCATGGCAACCCCAGATTACCTTTTATTCTCTGGGAGACCTGAGATGACCTCTGACATTGAGACCTTAAGGGGATCGGCTGCTCAGATCAGTAAAAATATTGAAAAAAATCGTCTTTCAGATTTTAGAGTATATCTTTGTATAAATATCTATCAAGAATCGATCTTTAGAAGCCTAATTTCTTTATCAAACTATAAATAGCTGGAAAAATGCATTTGAGAGAGGTAGCAGTGTAGGAAAATCTTCACAGAAAATTCCCGCTGGATGCAGTTTTCTCAGAATTGTTTATCTGACCAGGTTGCAACACTTTTGACTTTGTCTCAGAAAGTTACTGTCAGATTTTATTCTTCAAATTTGCACACAATCTTCTATACACATTATAATACTCTATGACCTTACAGAAGCATTTTGGCTGTTTATGGTAGGCCCTACTCCTTTGGAGTTTCAGGCTTTTTTTATTTTACAGTTTAAAATATTGGAGACCTGAATGTAGTGCATAAGGACTGTGTAAAGCACACAAGTTAGTTAGTCCAAAAAATTCAAATTTAGCTCAAGATCATTCTACCTACCAACAGTAATCACCTTGCCAAATATTAGTATTAGGCTTCTATGTTGATGATTGACAAAAGATAAAATTGTTTAAAAAAATGCTGAATCAATCCTTTATTTTTGACAGCTAAAATCTTAAATTTTTTGCTTGGTAACCTTGTTTTGTACTATGTCACACCCCTTTGATGCAGAAAAACAAGCTTTCAACCAAGAACTATAGCCTTTTGGGTGTTGACCATAGCTACGCCCCCTTACATTCCCTTGACTGACATTGAGGATGTGAGTCAACCAATGACATATTTAAATATGTGGCTGGGTGGCCAGAAGTGACCTTTGACTTTGAAAAACGGGACATCTTGGGGATAAATGGGTCTGTTGTAGAGGGATGCCAAATTTCTGTTTTTTTCCTACACTTGCAAAGGAAAGGAAATGGTGAGAGAAATGTTTTTGTTTGCTCATCTAAAGATTTTACAAGGTTCGTTTTAGGTGAAGTGTGATGCTCCGCTCATTTTCAGGTTTTTTGTTCAAAAATCGTTTGGCATCCCTGGTTGTAAGATGACCTTGATATTGCATGTGTTGCCTAGAACCCTGGAGCTACCTGCTTTACCTAACGCGTTTGTTGCTGATTACTTCTGAACTGCCTGCATTACCTCGCGTGTGTGTGGTTGATTACCTCTGAACTGCCTGCATTACCTTGCGTGTGTGTGGTTGATTACTTCTGAACTGCCTGCATTACCTTGCGTTGCATGTGTGTATTGTAAATGTTGAGTACTCCTGACCGACCTGCATTGCCACCTGTGATGTGCTGGGATAGGCATGTGATATTACCATGGACAGGTGGGGAAAGGGCTTTGTCTGCACTGCAGGCTCAAAGCTGATGATACAACTCTATATGATCTCGCTCCGTTTACTCGCCACTGTTGAGGGGGTATGTGTGTACTCCCCGTCTCAATGGCAGGTTTATTTTTGTAGGGTTTTTTTTTTTTTTTTCCATTTACCATCACTCGTTCCATACAATGGCATTATGTTCAATTGAAAAGTTTTGTTTTTTATCTTTGCTGTGGATATTGAGAATGAAGATATATGAAAATTATATTGAAGAACGTTGAGAATGGTGTGAGAAAGGTTGTATATGTAAACTGTAGAATCACATTGTTTCTGTGTGAAATGTGTCTTTGGGAACTTTCTCCCCAATGCTTGCGAGAGATTTTCTGAATGTTGAGAAATTTGTTATTTTTGTTCCTCTGGTTCGTACGCCAGGTTCGTGAGACTGAAAATTATTTACAGAATAAATGCATCGTATGACTTCCGGCAATGTCGAGCCTTTGTTAGTTTGTGATGTTTAAAAAAAAAAAGAGAAGTTTTTTCTCTTTTGTCTCTGTCGGCATTTGGGACGAGCACACCTAGTGGGTGGGTGGTTAACGGGTGCTCGGGTGTGGTTTGATTCTTCTTTCCTATAAAAAACTATCGTCCTTCTCTCTCCTCCTTTTTTTGTGTTTGTTACTCTCTTGTAAAAATTCTAATCTTCAGCACTTATATGACCTAATTGTGTTGCAAGTGCCTCTTGTCTTATATGACCTAATTATGTTGCAAGTGCCGTAAAATGATGCAGGCATGGTGGTTCAATTTTAAAAAAATTTCTCTCAGGTTTTAGACACCCAGTGCAGAGATGAGAATGAGCAGAGATTGTATAATTTTTTTGTTCAAGGAGAAGCGAAAGGTTTCAGAGTACATGTAGTCACAGGTCTTGAATTCACCCTACTCCTGTCTGTGGTGTAGTGGTGAGGCACTTCACTATCTCGTGCAGGAGACCCAATTTCAATTCCGAAGTTGGGGAGAATTATTGAGTCTCCCTCCGTCTGTCTGCTGGGATGTTGTATGTATCCCTTTCAGTCAGCCCGCATGGCCCTGACAGGCAGGGTAGGAAGCCTGCGTCTTCAGTCTTCTTTGATCGTCTCAATTGTGTTGATGGGGGTGTAATATAACACTGACCTATAAAAAAATATTTCTTTTGGTATTCGCACATGGCACTCCTCACCAAGTACCCCATTTAGTTTCAGCTTCTGCTAGTTGTTACGGCAATACTACTGCACAAAGTCAAATGCTTTTTCTCTGAAAGGACCAATTGAACAGAGTGTGAAACATTCTCATTCACAACAGCCAACCAAACTCATTCGTGGATACTAATACTTGGGAGCAGTCCACTCATTTCCCTGTACTTTTTCTTCAGTGTTGCAATACTATTATATTTCTTATGTGCTTCTCAATAATATACACATGAGTAGCCTCATACATGTGTACAGTACATGACAGTCAAGCTTGCGTATATAGGGCAAAGATTTTCAGGTCCCAAATTTATAAAATACATATCGGGTATGAGGTATATTTTTTGTATTAAAAACTTTTAAATCATGAAATTCATACTACAGGCATTGATGAAAAAATGTCTGTGTTCCACTAATTTCGCTCTATGTGCAGGCTAGACTAGGCCTATATATAATTCATAATATGGCCTTTACTGCCCAAAACACACATAATGTACATACATTCCAGAGCATAGTTTTCTGTGTGCAGGAGGTATACTATACAGGCACTCCAATTGTTGTACTTGTACACACACATGTTGTATATATATGTACATACAATGAAAAAGTTGACAAACTTCACAGGAAGAACAAAAGGTTTCAAAATGAAAACATTTATTGTTGAGTACTCAGGACAGAGTGAGAGCCATCCTCATGCTATTTTCATACCCAGCATACATACATGCAGTCATGTACAACAAAACATTTCCTTCACAAGCGCTATTATTAGATCTATACTTTCCCCTCGGAGCCCACTCCACACTTCTTGAATCCTGCGATTTGGTAATTAAGTAACCTTACTTGCGTGGTAAACCAGCTTGTGCAAAGTTCAGACAGAGAGAGAATAGAGTGTGGTCCATGTATATACTTCTACTAGTACCAGTGCAGTACAATCATTGTACTACTAGTAGTACTAGTGATGCAGGGGTAAACCCCTGCCTACAATTTGCATAAAAGTGTACCAGCATATCAGGGGCGTGTGTTGATTGCTTCAGTCATCACGTTACACCACAAACCTTTCCACTAAACATTACGGTCGCACTCTAGGAGAGGCACAACAAGGAATGCATTTCCCTGTATACATGTACCTCAAGGGTGTCTGAACACAAGACAGCTGGATATTACAAAAGCACACACGTGTTCCCACAAAATTGACTAGAACCTAAGATGGCTTCAACTTCAAGGAAGCTCAAGAGCAGCAAATTAGCAATAATATAATGCAATTTTTCCACAACAGATCACAAGGCATAGAGAGAACCAACCAAAATAGTCCTGCCACACACGAAAAAAAAGAGGTCCAACATTTTGATTTTAAGCGAGTGCGACTTCAATATCTGACTGGAAATAGAAGTATAAAGCAGTCCATATATAGATCAGTAAACAAGACAATTGCTTTTGGAGTGAAGAGCTCTCTCTCTCTCTCTTTATATATATATGTATAAAGAAATCAAGCATTCCCGCAATGTTGTTCTGGTGACATCCAGCCAGTGTGACAATGGCAAATGCTGCGTCATCAGATGGTTTATGGATGAGTGGTCCCAGGACACAGGGGGGAAAAATCAGGAGACAGTGACACGGTTTACACTTTCACTCCTACTCGTACTGGTAGAGAAAAACATTCATCCAGTCCAGTCCAACAATTTTACTCAACACTCATATATTACATTATTGAATTGCCTGCTCTGTGTAAGTGTAAGATTCCGCCATGCGCCATTTTGAAAATTGTTCAGGAGAAGCAATTCATAAATTTATCATCCAGGAGCTCCACACTTGAAACTTTGGTGGTGTAGATATTTCAAAACCAGTAATTGTTGAGGAGAGCTCATTTTTGTGACATAACGTGTTCGACGACACGACACAGTGACCGATTAGATCTATATCATATGTTAAAAAAAAGTGATTTTCACTAAAGTGGTGCATGTCGGAGTCCTACACGCCACTGAGCCAACACATTCAGCTGGACTGTGATACTGATGATAGAGGCTGGCCTAGCTGGAGAAATGCGTAAGGAGCAAGAACACTTGATGGCCTACCATATAAATATATATTGCAGGGAAGGACAGAGAAGCAGAAGAGGGGGGGGGGGGGAGAGTTTCTGCCAACTCAAGAGGAAAAGAGGCACCATCAGTACAAACAAGAATGTTTCAACAAATACAATAAACGATCGACCGTACCAAACTTAAAGTGCAAGCACCGGCAAAAAGCTGAGATTCAAATTCAGGTAGGCACCATACTTTTGAAAAACTCAATCCTTTTCATCAATCAGCAAGTGAAAGGGAAACTTATTAACTCACTCAAGACCAGCTCAGATTTAGAAATGAACTCTTGGAAACCAGCCATTACATTATGACCAATCTGCGAAAAGTTATGATTGATTTCCAGTTTTTAAATGAATAGCTTAGAGTTAGAGACTTTTCGACAGCACATTTGGACAATTATGCTTGGGTCTAAATTTGATCTTTAATTTTTTTAAATTTCTGAAGTAGTCAACTTTGGTGGTAGGAAAAAACATTTGGCTGCTGTTGTTGTTGCACTTTGGTTCTCCAGACAAAACTACTACTGCTTACTTGATTATCTGTTACTTAAGAGTCAGGATCAAAATCGAGATGGAAAAAAAAAATCTCTTCTCTGAGTGTCTATGGCAATGGTAAATGTACTTGAACTTGATTCCTCTAGCTTTAGAATACTGAACCCTCATCTGAGGTAAATCTAATCAAAAATTACCACGAGGAGAATAACCTAGGATCTAGACAGGAACAACGAAGTCTGGTTCTATTCAGTGGAAATTGAAATAGGGGGAGTGAGATTCTATAACAACTAGATAGGGTAATGTCCCTCACCGTCAAATATGGTTTGGGCTGAGAAATCATGATTTGGCTTTAGGGAAGTAAAGCCAATCAATGGTTCAATTTCAGTCCTTCACAAGCTTTATACATCTGAGAAATCTTGGTTTTGATCCTGGGTGAGGTAATGAAGCCTTTAAAATGACTTCCCACAAACATATAAAAATTTTTTTAAAACGAAT